GGAAAGAGAGGAAAAATGAGTAGGAAAAGGATCTTAAAGTTTTTACGCAGATAAACCGATGTTCTAAGGTAAGGGGGAGGAGAACTTTACCTCTTTAAAATTTTATATACTACTATGTTTATTTATTTATGTTATTTTTTTATGTATATTTATATAGTGAGGTGTCCCTAACCTCATTTATTTGCTTAACCTATGATTATTTTTATCCATAATAATTATTAAGGTGTTCATATTTTATATTGTTTAATTATTTTATAATGATTGTCATTTTTACTTATATCATTGGTACTTTTAATATATTCTTTTTACGTAAATATATTTATTGTAAATATATTTTATATAATCAACTATAATATAGTTGTGATAACTTGGACTCGTCTTATTGTTATTTCTTCATGTATTTATGAAGATAAATATTGTTCTATGGCCATAAAAGATAAAGTTTGAATTATTTATAACTGAAGGTTTGACCTTGGAGATTTAAATGAGTAAGAACTTATGGTGAAATATTCTTATGAGTAAGGAGTTAAGGTGAAATATCATTTTGATGGTTGATATTATGATGATGCTCATTTATCCTGACTAGTCACTACAAGTATAATTCAAATTTTATTGTATCATGAAAATCTAATATATGATCTGTATATATGTTTAATATTGATTATAAATAATGTTGTATATTCTTTTGAATTATTGTATTTATTGGATATTGTTCTCACTCCTCTTTTTTTTTGTTTTTTTAAAATTAAATATATTATAAAATAGATGGATCTACTTGGGATTCCAGATCATTTTGCAGTTGTTATTACTGTTGTCCTACTTGGAAGAAATTGGAATATGGAGGTTATTTGATGGATCTGTGATAATTTTATTTTCCAACCATATTATTTCAATTGTAATTTTCTTTTCACTATCAATGTAAATATTGTAATAGAAGTAGAAGAAAGAAATAATGTGTAAAATAATACATTATTGTAAATATTTTAGAATGATATGTCATGTAATAAATTCACAAAATATCCTTTTTCTTTATCTTTATCTTCATTAAACAAATATTGTTAATGATATAATTGCGGAAATATTATATAAGAAAATATATAATTATTATTATATAAATCGGGCATTACAAGGGACATGATCTTTTAATGAGATTTGAGGTGTTTAAGCAAAATTGAGTATGGATATATATTTTCAATAAAAAATATAACTCATTTTTACTGATATACTTTTATAAAAAATTGTGGTATTTTTGGTCATAACTTTATGTGAAAGTCAAAAATTAATTAAGAAATTCAAATGTTAACTTGTGTTAATCACTTTTTAATAATATATAATTATATTAGATATAAATATAATATAAAATATTAAGATTAGTTTAGTGGTGTAATAAGAATAGTATATATATATATATATATATATATATCATAATGACTTTAAATTCAAATTCATTTGTTTTCATCGTAATTTTTATCAATAATAAAAAAAATGGATATAATACTACGTATTCGTACAATAATATATAATTATTGATTGCATTGACACATATAATCATACTAATATTAATATCCCAAATTCTATGAAATCTTTATTATTATACAAGTTTAGATGAAAGTTATATTTCAACGAATGTAAATTATATTTGTTATATTGTAGATATGACATCTTCTACCTATTATATGTTTATTAATATAAATGTGATAATAAATAAATAAATAAATAAAATTTTTAAAATCTTTTCTTAAATGGATAAGAATATCATATATGAAGTAGTTATTTTAGTTGATTTTAATATTTTTTAATTATAATGTATTTATGATCATAAAAAAAATGTACTAATTTTATTCTTATTATTTATTATTAAGTTATTATGTTAATTCTAATGATATTAAAAATGATTTTCTTAAGCAAGGTTTTGAGGGTATTTTCAATGGAAGCAACTCATTTGAGTTGCTTCATGCATTGAAAACTGAAATAAGTGGTCCCTAGTGTGCCATGTCAAAATTAAGTAACTCAAACACAAATTTAATGGTAAGAAACTTTAAGAAATTCAACTTTTATAATTTTTTTCTAATCATTTATGAACCAAATTTAAATTTTTATTAAAAAAGATAATTGCACTACAATAAAATAAAATAAATTACAAGAAAAAATATAAATAAAATAATAGTAAATACATAAACATTATACGAAATTAATTTTCATCATTATTATTTTCGAAACGTTTCCAAATATGTTCAATAAAATCTGCTTGAAATCTGGTAAGGAACGGTTGCTTGAAGAAATAACTCTCTCTTCTTCAAGCAACTCATGTTGCCACGTCAGAGTTCTCCAATAGCAAGAAACCGAGACTTAAGTTACTTCATGGGACGAACAACTCCCATTAGAGTTGCTCTGAATTTTAACTTTTTAAATAAAATAAAATTAGTTAAGAGGGGAGACCAACCATATTAATCATTTACAAATTTAATAAATATTTTACATTGATAATATAATTATAAAAAGTTATTATAGTAAAAGTGAAAATATTGCTCAGCATAAAAAAATTATGCTAACCTTTTTCAATTTTTTAAATTTCTTATAATATTATTATTTTTCATAATTTTTATTATATTTATAATATTTTTTTTTATCATTTTTAAAGAATCACTTTAACTAAAATCTAAAGATTAAACGACTAAAATGATTTCTGAAATAATAAAAAACAAAACAAGACAATATATATATATATATATATATATATAGATATATATATTTAACTTTTTTTATTAGATTATAGATATAAATTATTTATTAACTTTAACTTTGTTGATAAAAAAAATTTAATCTAACTGCACATCTTTATTAAAGTTTCTCCAAATCTAATCAAATTAATTGATTAAATAAAAAAAAATCACATTTTTTTTTTACTAATTTACTGTATTTAATTCCATGATTAGTGACAGCTAAGTTACGAAAGGGTACTTCGCTCACTCACTCACTCACCGTAAACAATATATCATATTCTTTCACTTCCAACACTCTCGCTTCATTTTTGAACCCTAGCTTCATGGATTCTTCTTCTTCTCATCTTCCACCTTCAATTCCCCTTCAACCTCAACCTCAACCTCAACCTCAACCCCAACCTCAACCTCCTTGTAAGTCTTCATTTCACCTTTCGTAAAATTCATTTCTAATTTTCAAAATTAATTTTAATTAGCGCTATTCTTCTGCAAGGTATTTCACTATTTCGCTGTTTGACTTACATGCCTTTCGTTTGTTTTCATTTCTAGATTCTAGATGTTTCATGAGGCTTCATAGATATTAGATACATATATGCGTACCTTTAATGTGGTCGTGTTTAGTTTTTGGGGATTTTTTTTTTTTTTGAATTTTTGGCCTGAATCTATGTAAATGCGTCTAATTTCGTGAATTGCTCTTGTGAGATTTTTCAGATCACTCGATGTACAAAAATCGTTTGCAAGAGTTTGCGCAGAAGGCAAGCATAGGAGTTCCTGTGTATCAAACTGTTTTTGTGGAGGGGCAGCCACATGCTCCCAAGTTTCATTCAACCGTGTGGGTGGGAGGAATGAGTTTTACTAGCTCGTTCACATTTCCCAGCAGAAAAGCTGCAGAACAGGAAGCAGCTAAGGTTGCTTTGGATACTCTCCTTCAAAGGACCAGAGATGAATTGCCATCCCTTGTCAATGAGGTGTTTTGACACAGAATTTTTTGTGTCGATTTTAGTTTTTAGTAGGTGCATCATTGGTTTGATTGACCCGTGTGAGAATTGTTAAGTAAATTTGAGCTGATGTTTGTTAATAATACTTTTTGGACAATTTAGATACTGCTGTACCTGTATATTAGCTTTGTTTTTTTGCTTGCTTTGCATTTGGTTGGCAATAATCCTAGTGCTTTGTAGTAATTAGAAGAATTTGTTTTATTTTTGTGAAAATATCTGCTATCTTCCCTTAAATGTAGTTTCTCTATTTTTTTTCCCCTTCTGATGATCTCTTTGGTATATCTAGTAAAAGCAATTTTGTCTAGTGACATGAGGTATTTTTCATATCCCGTCATTCTCAGTTAAGTGTACATATTTGCTGAGATGGATCTTGTCTATTTGAATAGGTTTTCTATAAGATTCTGCAAACTACCTTTTATTCGGATGTATATATCTCTTGTAGTTATAGAGTATCTAAGTTGAAGATCTGTGTGACATGTCACTGAGATTCTTAGTTTTCAGCAGGTAAGGTTAGAATAGGATATTCATGCAAAGTTGATATGAAAGAAGTATCATTGCAACAAATAATTTTTGGTTTTGCCAATGGAACTAGAGTTTAGACCCATCCTTATATTTTTTTAATAATGGTTTGAAACTGATCTAATGTAGCTTGAAGTAATCATTCTTAAATCAATGTCTTGGAAAATCATTTTCATATTCATTACTGTTGTAACTACTCATTGCTGACTTGCAAAAAATAAATAGCTGGTGAAATAGAATTAATCTTAATAATTGCTTTAATTGATATTTGATAATTGTTATTGCTTCATTTTGGCTTGGTTTGGCAATATCATTCAATATTATCTATCTTTAAAATGTTGACTTTTTGTTGTCATCATCTTCCAGATTTCTCCATTTTGCAAGTCTATCATTAATGAATATGCTGCTAAACTGCATGTAGAAAGACCTACATACAACACTGTTCAGCAACAGCTAGGAGGAGTGCTTCCTGTTTTTACGACTTCCTTAGTTTTCAATGGTACTAGTTACACTGGCGATGCTGCTAGAACCAAAAAGGAAGCAGAGCAGTCAGCAGCGCATGCTGCTATTCTAACAATTATGGGTATCCTTTTGCATATGCTTTATTACATGTTTTGGGTGGATTTTAGTTAGAAATGTGCCTACCTACTAAATGAGTATTTAATGCAGGTGATCCTAGCTCAGGAACTAAGCTCATTGAGATGATTAAGTCAAAGTCTATATTTTATGATGCACTCAAAGGAAAGAGCCTACCTCTGTTACAGGCCAATGCAGAGTTACCCACAGCAAATGCAGGACAATTGGCTGTTACATTGGATCATAAAGATACAGGAGTTACAGACTGTGTGTCTGATAATAATGAAGCTAAAGTTGAATTTCCCGAGTCTTCTAAGATGCTTTCCACCTTTGAAGGATTTCAAATGCCAAAACAAGATATCCCCCCTGAAGCCACCAATGTAGCTCTGCAACCGGGTTCAACAAATTCTATTGATGATGGTTCTAGTTCGAAAAAGCGGAGAAAGAACAAGAAGAAGGCTAATAAGAAGGCACGGCTGGAATCTCTGTAAGTTTCAATAATATCTCATCTGTTATTTTGTGTGGTGTTTCTTTTTGCTTCCTTTGCTATTTTTTTCTTCATTCTCCCCCAGCCCTCCCTAGCATTTTGTCTACATGTTTCCCTTGTCTGTCCATGATTTTTGAAGTTTGCATTGTCCAGATGGATGTTAATGCTATGCCTCAGTAAATTACCAGGGAGGTGAACTTGCAATGAATAGTAAATAAAAAGTGAGTGAATATTAGTTTAATAATTTCTGGATACTTTTCATTCTAAAGAAAAAACAAATTCACCTTACAATCTGTTTGAGATCATCCTTGTTGTGTTGGTGCGTGTATGCTGGAGCTTTTGCTTGGGTAAAAGAAGTTTGTGTTGGAATAACCATATTATGTAGTGAGGGATGACGTGTACAATACATGTTTAAGTGGCCTTATAGTGGGATGTGATTTAAGCTAGATAGGTAAGTACATGTATTTGCTTGTGTGGGAGGCAAAGTTATTTATATGCTTGCTTTTTTCTGTGTGGATGTGTGTATTATGATTAATTGAATGTTATGTTGTGAAAATTTGCAGGTTACCGGTTACTGCAGTTCCCATGAACCAAGTCCCTCCTTGTTCGATGGTTCAGTAAGCTGCTATTCTAACAATTATGGGTATCCTTTTGCATATGCTTTATTACATGTTTTGGGTGGATTTTAGTTAGAAATGTGCCTACCTACTAAATGAGTATTTAATGCAGGTGATCCTAGCTCAGGAACTAAGCTCATTGAGATGATTAAGTCAAAGTCTATATTTTATGATGCACTCAAAGGAAAGAGCCTACCTCTGTTACAGGCCAATGCAGAGTTACCCACAGCAAATGCAGGACAATTGGCTGTTACATTGGATCATAAAGATACAGGAGTTACAGACTGTGTGTCTGATAATAATGAAGCTAAAGTTGAATTTCCCGAGTCTTCTAAGATGCTTTCCACCTTTGAAGGATTTCAAATGCCAAAACAAGATATCCCCCCTGAAGCCACCAATGTAGCTCTGCAACCGGGTTCAACAAATTCTATTGATGATGGTTCTAGTTCGAAAAAGCGGAGAAAGAACAAGAAGAAGGCTAATAAGAAGGCACGGCTGGAATCTCTGTAAGTTTCAATAATATCTCATCTGTTATTTTGTGTGGTGTTTCTTTTTGCTTCCTTTGCTATTTTTTTCTTCATTCTCCCCCAGCCCTCCCTAGCATTTTGTCTACATGTTTCCCTTGTCTGTCCATGATTTTTGAAGTTTGCATTGTCCAGATGGATGTTAATGCTATGCCTCAGTAAATTACCAGGGAGGTGAACTTGCAATGAATAGTAAATAAAAAGTGAGTGAATATTAGTTTAATAATTTCTGGATACTTTTCATTCTAAAGAAAAAACAAATTCACCTTACAATCTGTTTGAGATCATCCTTGTTGTGTTGGTGCGTGTATGCTGGAGCTTTTGCTTGGGTAAAAGAAGTTTGTGTTGGAATAACCATATTATGTAGTGAGGGATGACGTGTACAATACATGTTTAAGTGGCCTTATAGTGGGATGTGATTTAAGCTAGATAGGTAAGTACATGTATTTGCTTGTGTGGGAGGCAAAGTTATTTATATGCTTGCTTTTTTCTGTGTGGATGTGTGTATTATGATTAATTGAATGTTATGTTGTGAAAATTTGCAGGTTACCGGTTACTGCAGTTCCCATGAACCAAGTCCCTCCTTGTTCGATGGTTCAGTAAGTTGTGTTTGTATTATGTAGTGAGGGACTATGTATACAATTCATGTTTTAGTGGATTTATAATGAGATGTGATTAAAGATAGATAGATATGTACATATATTTTCTTGTTTGGGAGGCATATATATATATATATATATATATATATATATATTTGTGTGTGGATGTGTGTCTTGTGATTAATTGAATGTTTTGTGAATTTTGTTGTACTACGTTTCCCATGAACCTAGTCCCTCATTTGATGGCACATTAAGTCATGTTTGTATTTTGTAGTGGGGGACAATATGTACAATACATGTTTTAGTGGCTTTATAATTGGATGTGACTTAAGCTAGGTAGATATGTACACATGCTTGCATGGGAGGCAAAGTTATTTAAATCTTGTTTTGGGTGGATGTGTGGCTTGTGATTAATTGAATGTTGTTTTGGAAATTTGCAGGTTACCGGTTACTGCAGTTTCCATGAACCAAGTCCCTCCTTGTTCGGTGGCACAGTAAGAAGTTTGTGTTTGTATTATGTAGCGAGGGACAATATATAGAATACATGTTTTAGTGGCTTTATAACGGGATGCGATTATGTTAGATAGATATGTACATATATTTGATAATGTAGGAGGCAAAGCTTTTTTTTTTTTTGTGTGCATTTGTGTCTTGTGATTAATTGAATGTTTTGTTGTAAAATATGCAGATTCCCAATCACTACAGCTCCTATGAACCAAGCCCCTTCTTATTCGGTGGCACAGTAAAAATGTGGATGTGTGATGAATTTTTTTGTAGATGTCGCAAATCTTGTTGCAAATGTGCTTCCATGGAGAAAAAAACCAAAGTTCCTGGTTAACATTTAGAACTTTGTTAAAATCCTTGTTCAGTTGTATTTTATTTATTAAGTCCATGCCTTAACATGTTTTGGGCTTCGAACTTCTGTGGCACACAAAAAATGTGGAAGTGTGATGAAGCATTTGTAAATGTCACAAACTGTAAAGATGAAAAGTTAGTGGATAAGAAACGGAATTTCCTTGTTAAAATTTTTTTCAGTGGTTGCTTGCTTGTATTAAGCCATGCCTTGCATTATTTGAGCTTCCAACTTCTGTTGAGAATGCATAGGTTTGCTCTCCAGTGGGAGTGTTTAACTGTTTATAAACCATTTTCTCCCACTAACTTGTCTCAATTTGGCATGATGGTTTTATATTATATATATTAGTAGGATAGAGCCACTTTGTGTCGGCATTGTATTAAAAAATAGTTATTTTTATGAGTAATTATTCATAAGTAGTTTTAGAATAAAAAAATGAAGAGTTTAAAAAAATTGTACAAAAAAAAAGAATAAAAGAAAAAAGAAAAATAGATAGTAGAGGATTATTTTTAGCAAGTTGTAGAAAATAAATAAGGATAAAAGAAATATTGTTAATATTATTCATTAGAGGAAAAATTGTAAATTGTATTTTAATTCTAGTTTTTTGTTTTTTCTAATTCTATTTTTGTACTTTTATATTATGTTAAAATTGACATTTTATGTTTACAAATTGGTGTCATAATACTAGATTTGATTTAAATGTTCTTTTGGACTTCGTAAGCTTTAGAAGATAAATTTGTCTTAATTTGGCTTGTTAGCAAAACGAGATTCTGACCAATTCATCTACATTTTTTTTGTTCTTATGTGGTCTTTGTGTGTGCTTGTATAATCGAGTGTTGGTTAAGATTGATTTTGTGGTAAAAAAAATTATATTTAGATATTTTTACTTTGAAAATAATGTTGTAGAATGTATTGTAATTTTTTTTAACCTGACACAAGCTATTTCTCTAGTACTTTTAGTCAAATTGAAATTTAAAGGAAAAATCAATTTTGAAAAATGTAGTAATATACTTTTTAACATATTTTGAACATATATTTTACTATTAATTGAAAATTATTATGAGAATTGTTATATAACGCGAAGATGTTTCGTATGAAGTATGAACTAAGAGCAAAAACATGCCACAAAAATCACGGTTGTATCTATCATATTAGTCGATGTCAAAGTTTGTGCGATACTTACGTGTAGGATTAAGCATTTTTTTTAATGTTAAAAATCATAAAATTTTATAGATCTTACATGTTATTTAACAAATTTCTCATGATTTTGTATTTTCTTTTATAAAAATAATCGATAGGAGTATGCGTTGCTAAATGTTAACACTTTCCATCGTTACTTTTTGAACAATAATCAAACATTTGAATCATGTTTGACAAGGATAAAATGTATGTTTTAGTGAAAGGAACGCTCGTCACTTGAAGCATATTTAAGTAGCTTGTGCGCCATTTTAACTTATTTAATGTATTTATTTGTTTATTTGTTTATTTTTTATTTATATGTGTGTTCCCAATACAAAATTAAACACACTAAAAAATCACCTATAAATATTTATTTCTACAAATTTCACATTCGAAGTGTCCAGTTCTTGATACAAGGGAGTATGTTAAAGATCCAGCATTATCTAGGAATAATGTCATATAAATTTCATGTTCGAGATGTTTAGTCTTTGGTGTAAAAAATGTGTTGGAGATCTTTCATCGATTAGAAATAAGATCATAATAATGTATATAAATAGAGAAAAATCTTCACATTACAAATCAATTTTATAAGACTGAGTTAAACCCCAAATTAAATTTTTTTAATATTTTTTCCTTCAACTCTTTCATAATAAGTGTTGTTTAAAATCTTTTTATTTTACATAAAAAAAAACTGGTACCAAATTTCCTTCATTTTAAAATGAGATGTATTTGTGGCTTGTCTTAATTAGTTTGCTGTTTGTTGTCCACCATTCTTCATCTGTCGTATCAAACATGCCCATTATCAAACTGCTTGTGGAAGTTTTATTATAATTTATAACATAGACTTATAATTTATAAATTATTAAAAATATATATACAATTGTATTTTAATGGTTGGACATAAATATAGTTTTAAATTTTTTTTAGAGAATAGTTTTAATCACTTAAATATTAAATATACGAGATAGAGTCGTTTTAAATCTTTTAAAATTTAAAATTATTTTTTAGTTCTTTAATAAAAAAACTTATATCAATTTCCTTTACTAAAATATTGTTAGTAAATTCATATACTAAAATGTCTTGTTAATAAAAATATGACATTAAACTTAATTAATGATTTATAATCGACTAAATCTTATTTGTTATTATTTTAAATTTATAGTAAATATTTATTATATAATAATTACTATTTTCGTTATCTGTAATATTTATAGTATTAGTTTACTACATTTTTAATATTTTATGATAAAACATTATAATTGTGTAGGACTGTTCATTAGTATTCAATACTAACAACCATTTTATTCCAATTTGCACTAGTGGAAAAAAGACTTTTAAAATCGGTTATTTTTAACTTTTAAAATCGGTTCTTTAACCGATTTTAAAAGAGTCGATTTTAAAAGTTAGACTTTTAAAATCGGTTAAACAACCGATTTTAAAAGTTAACTTTTAAGATCGGTTGTTTAATAACCGATCTTAAAAGACTGGCTGGAAAAAAAATTAAACTGGAGGGGGCCATTCCAAAAATGGAACGGGCCGTTCCAGTTTAATCAAAAGACCTAAATTTAATTTTAAGTACGGGGCGTTCTCTTTGGAGAACGACATGTTCCCAATGGAGAACGGCCCGTTCTCCTTGCAGAACGGGCCGTTCCAGGTTCGAAATTTAGCCAAAATGAGCCTAAAATAGAGAGAAAAAAAGCGTGAGAAAACAAAAAGAGACACGACAAGAACATGAGAAGACGAAAATTAAAACGAAAACGACAACAAAATTTACCTTATTGGAGACTTTAGAAAATGAGAGCGTCACAGATTAAAAAGAAGAATGAAGGGAAAGATTAAAGAGAATGAGAATGGAGGGGAATATAAAAGATTTCTGACGATACTTTTAAAATCGGTTATTGAAGAACCGATTTTGTATACTACATACAAAATCGGTTATAGAATAACCGATCTTAAAATTACTTTTAAGATCAGTTATTCTATAACCGATCTTAAAAGTACTTTTAAGATCGGTTCTTTTGTAACCGATCTTAAAAGTGTTACTTTTAAGATCAGTTCTTTTATAACCGATCTTAAAAGTGTTTATTTTATTTACAAATTTGCCACCGCGTCACTTTTAAGATCGGTTACCTTATAACCGATCTTAAAAGTCCGATTTTAAATCCAATTTTTGCACTAGTGTTGTATAGACCAGTCAAGAAACTCTCTCAAATAAAGAAAGGGTATTTTTTTTTTTTGGAGATAATTAGAGTAAAATTAGCTTAGATATATTTATATTCAGGTTCATTATTCATCAATTTTTTATTGCTTATCTTTAAATCTTGAAAAAAAAAAGGATCTAATAATTTCTCCATTGGTTCACTTTACAGGAAATTGTTTTGACAATGAAATCTAAAACCATAGATGTCTTTCTTTCGGGGAAGAAGAAGTTGCCCAAAGATTCGAGCACATTCTTTCTTGGCCACAGCAATTTAGTATATGCATTGATAAGTATGTATATTGTATATATATATATGAGAAAGATGCGCCATATATATATAACTTAAACCTTTTACCAATAAACAATATAATTATGGAAAGCTAATGACAGAACTAATTGGAAAATTTTGAAGATGTGCACAAAATGTTTAAGTGGATTTGGAAGATATGGAAAATTCTGATCTGCTCCCTGATCAAGAGTTTCCAAGTTCATGGTAAGAAGGACACAATTAGACAATTTGCATGAAACAAGGAAAAGGAATTGCTCATTATTTTTAATGCCAGCTCTAACCCGAAATTTGTTTATCTGTAGTAGAACTAAGTAGACATGTGGATGATCTTCTTTGTGTCTACAAAAGATATACTTAACTGTCTTTCATGAGCACTCACAAATTGTTCTGCGCAAAAAAAAGAAAGATATAGCCCTAAAAAATGATCATAACTAAACTGAGTTGACCACAGGAATTCCATTTTGGTTTAAAAAATTCAGTGTGATGGAATCTGTTTGAGAGAATGTTGACTTTTTTCTTTGGCAACAGCTAATTAATTGTGAGTGAATTATTTAAACTTATCATCAAAGCCAGCGTTTAGGTGTTAAAGGCAGAGATCCTGACTGGTACATGAATGGCGTTTAAGAGAGTTAAGTAATGTTTATGGAAATAAATAAAAGATTAGGAAATTAATCTATCATTTTATTTCATTTATTTATTTTAATGATTGTAGAAATAAATAAAAGATTAGGATCAACATAAATAATATATATATATATATA